CAGGTTGTTGAAACATGATAAAATAGCAAGAGTTTCCAAGGAGAGATTAAAGACACAGGAAAGGAAAGAGGGGAGATTCTGTAGACAATCTGTGCTAGTCTTGACTAGGTTGTGAGACCTGTTTAGATGCAGAGACTGTGCATTGCAAAGCTGACAGACTGTTCTGTTTTCTAGAGTACTGGAGGACTACAGAGTGAAATTCCATCTTCCTCTGCCTCACTCCACCCAGGATCTGATGGATGCTTAGGGAAGAGCTGCTCAGCTGCCTTGCAGGCACCTACATTGGTCTGAGGACTGGGCTCCATTGCTCTGGAAATCCATCTCTCATGGAGATTTCCACAGTGTACATGTTTCAAATGGAGTGAAACAAATCTAAGATTTAGGGAATCACAGAATAACAGAATGGTTTGGGTTGGAACAGACCTTAAAGATCATCTATTTCCAACCCCCTCCTGTAGGCAGGGACACCTTCCACTAGACCAAGTTGCTCCAAGCCCCACCCAACCTGGTCTTGAACACTTCCAGGGATGGGGCAGCCACAGCTTCTCTGGGCAACCTGTGCCAGGGGCTCACCACCCTCATAGGGGAGAATTTCTTCCTAATATCCAATCTAAATCTACTGTCTTTCACTTTGAGTTCACTCTCCCTTCTCCTATCACTCAAGTTCCTCATTTGCAAAACCACTTAGCAAAGCACTAAGACAATCTACTGCTAATCTACAGCCTAGGGCCAGGGTGGGAATTTATTCCCTCTTCATCCCTTCCTTGACCCCTTGGGAAATGCCCCATGGGAGGCATTTCAAACTCCCACTGTGACTATGTGGGCACTAGTCCATTCCCATTGACTGAAAAGGTCATTTTTATTTTCTCATCGGATCTTCACCCTTCAGAGTGGCTGTCCTGGAGCCTGGGACATCTTGTGAGTAATGACCAAAAATGATTTCATCATCAGGCTTCCACCTCTTCTAAGGCTGTAATGAAACAAAAGAAGGGAACGTAAATTAGGGATATCCTGCTGGGTAAGTAGTTAACAAGATGGAAGCATGTGGCCTGACCCTGTGGGATGCGGGTGGTCCATCCGTCTCATTGTGCTTCCCTGGTGAGCAAATCTGAGATTCCCACAGGTGAACAGGCACAGGTCAAGAACAGAGGCTGCAAGGTTTCTTCAGCCAACTTCTGTTTTGAATATTATGCTTTCACTTGTGAACCCTGAGGAATTCAGATCTCAAGGCAGAGGAAATGTTGGAAGAGGTCAAGCGAGCCGTGCTCTCTTCGTGTCACTTGGAGCAGCAAACAGCCTGCATTCCACGGCAACATCTGATTTTCTGCTTTTACAAGGCAGATGTTTAGGAGAAGTGATCTGCTGTTTATTTTAATTGCCATCTTCCAAACCTCTTTCCTACGTGCGTGCACACATTCGGAGACCATAAATAAGGATTCTTCAGATTATGCCGCTATTTGGGTAGCTGGCCCTGTCTTCCATCAGTGCCTGGACAGGGCTGTGTGCTGCAAACCCTGTTCCCCCTGCACATCAGTTTTACTGTAGCATAAATTAGTTAGGTCTAAATCCTTTCTCAATGACACGAGCATAAATCTGAAATTGCTCCGCTGACGTCAGCTGATGGCAATGTAAAGGAGAGTTAGACTCCTTGACTTCAGAATGTTGCTGATTTATACCAGGACAAGAGCAAAAGAACTTGGGCTCAGCATGTTCTAGCACTGTGTTACTGAACAGCAGGCCAGGATTTGCTCTGGGATACAGTGATGACAACAGAGATCAGTTCCATGGATTTTTCTGGCATTAAATTGATGAAAATAAGTCGTAACTTCACCACAGTTTGGGCCTCAAAGAGCTCCATGTAGCAGGTCATTAATGAAAAGAAAGGATAAAACAATGCTCCTGTGTAAAGTGGTTAGTCCCACTGTCTGACACTATTCCAGGAGTGTCATACAGGGATGAATCCAGCCATTTGGCATGTGCTGTGATGATGGAGAGTAAGGTAGCAGTACCCTCATATCTTGATGAAAACCAGGCAGAAGTTCATGGAGGAACTGCTGGTTCTAGCTGAAGGCAGAGGGGCATGTGTGTGGAGGAACTGCCCTTGCAACTGGTGCCAAGAGCTGGTCTGTAAGGGTGGGAATGCTGGCTGCACTTTTCTCCTCCAAGAGGACACAAAGAGTTCTAGGCACCCTGTGCTGGCAGCATTCAGGGTGTTAATCCTTACTCACTTGTTTTCTAGATTTTCCTACTTTGTTTCTAATGGTTAGAAGTGAGAGTCTATAAAAGAGATGCTGGTCCCTCTCTCTGCAGTGGCTTCACCCTTCAGACTGTGGGTTTAAGCAGAAGGAGACACGAACTAGATATTTCTTCTTGAAGCTGTAGGGCTTCCCAAACAACCTTGCTGCTTAAAGAGACTTTGGCAAAGGGTGCCTGGATTTCTGTTGGCTACTCTATAGAAGTTAGAGAGCCCAGTTGTCACCTCAAAGTCCACCGGCCTTGCTCCGTGAATGCCACTAGAGACAAGCTGATTTACACCCCTCTTCTGTTGGCATCTGGCCAATCTCTTAATTGTTCATAAGTGACCTTTTTAATAGCACACGTTTGCTCTCAGTGGCTTTGTTTGCCCACAGTGAAGTGCAGTCATGTGTGGCGTAGCTGCTTTAAAGCAGCAGATTGAAACAAGGTCCATGTGAACCACCAGGTAACCCGGGGCTGCCACAGAGCAGGACATGGGTTTCAGGAGCCCAGCCTGATAATGTGACCCCATTGACAGTGACCTCCCTGTCCCACACTCAGAAGGTGGCCCCATGGAGATGGAGTGAGAGCTACCAGAGCACAGCTCCAGTTTTACCACCCATTTTGTTCTCACTAGAGGTGGACAACTTGACCGATGCCTTCGCTGGTAGGGAGTGGTGGAGTTTGCCAGAAGTGAAACAAAAATGTGATTTTGTCATGGAAACCAGAGCCTGAATGTGAAGCTCATTCAATGGGGCAACAGGAAGAGGACATTGGACTTCTGTCTCCTATCAAACTGTGTGTGCCTTGGATTTGGAACACCAGACAGTCACTATTATAATAACCTTGTCATGAGATATCAAGAAGCATTGGCTTCCTTTGTATTCCTGGGAAGAACTAAACCAGGCTCTTGGGGACTGGTCTGTGAAGGATGGGGTTTCTTAGCAGCACCACTCTAAAGAGCAAAACTCTTTCCAATTACGACAGGCAGCAATTAAACCACAGTGGCTGAGGGATGCAGAGTTGGAAACACAATCTTGCTGTGCTTTGTGGCTCTACTTCCTGAATGCAATCATGCAATTATTTTAGAGTATTCCCTCTTCCTTCTCATTTGAACTTTATAAGTGGCTTTGCCCTGGGAGCTCATGGCATGGTTCCGGTTTTCTTGCAAGCTTAAAAGCTCCATCTGTAGGATTGTTGAAGAAGAGCTCTCTGGCTTCAAGCTGATGAAAAAGGGCAGAGAAGTTTCACTCTGAGTTTCCAGATTTGTTCTGGAAAAACTCCAGCATGCTTAGCATACCACTCTGCAGAAAGACACTTGATTTCATCATGTGCCCTTCATATTTGGGGAGAGCTTTCCAACCTGGTTAAACTGCTGGTCCTTGGTCCTGTACTGCATGACTGTGGGGCTGAGGCTGTTGCCTCTGGAATGGTGGAGCTGGTATTATTTCACACAGGAAAGCTCAGCAATATTCTAAATAGATCATGAGCTGAAAGACTTCTGGGTAACAGTTCTCAGAAAGAATGGTAGTGACAGGACAAGGTGGAATGGCTTCAGGCTGTAAGAGAGTAGGGTCAGATTGGATATTAGGAAGAAATTCTTTACTGTGAGGGTGGTGAGGCACTGACACAGGCTGCCCAGAGAAGCTGTGGCTGCCCCATCCCTGAAAGTGTTCAAGGCCAGGTTGGACAGGGCTTGGAGCAACCTGGGCTAGTGGGAGATGTCCATGCCCACAGTAGGGGTTGGAATGACATGATCTTAAAACATTCCATGTTTCTGTGATAGAGTTGTGATCCCTTTAGGTTCTGATAGCCCACAGTGCCCAATGTAGAAAACTAAACAGCAGTGATTGACATGTTCAAATCATCTAAATCCAGTTGATTTAGCAAATCAGTTTCTCCTCAACCTGGTATTTAATAGTTGTCAGCCCACACTTCCCTGCACAGGCTACACCTGCAGAGGCAATTGCAGTCCATAGGGGCTGTTTTTGGGAGGAGAAAACACAAAAGGTGAAAGACTTTTCTTCCTTTTGTGCGGAGTAGAATCCTTGCCAGTAAGGTGAGGTTACAGACTGGGGTTGTGAATGTTTGAAAAAGGATGGATGGATGGAAGGAAGGAAGGAAGGATATACTTTGCAGGGCAGATGGAGTGTGAGTAGTCCTTTTAAAGAGATGCTGGCAACTAACAGTGTTGCGAATTATCTCTGTCATGTTGGAACTTCATCTTCTATTTGCACAAGAAATACAACTTCATTTTAGATACCCAGAATTCTTCTGAGAGACGCATTGTGTTCCCAAAGAACAAATATGTTTTTTTCCTTTGTGCAGATCCATTCTGGCTTTAAACCTGCTTTCTTCTCACATGCACAGATGATAATCTTTTACATGTACTTATTAAAAAATATCACTTTCAAAAAATAAAAACACAGGCATATTCTGTACTTGTTCCTTTCTTTACCTCACAATTAATTTCCCATTTTCCCATCTGACAAGTCTGTCATTTGAGTATCTCCACAATCAAGAAAAAGCCCATTTTTTTCCCTTTTGTAGACTTATGATATTAAAAGCAGAAAGAAATGTGTTCTCATCTCCTGGGCAGCTGACCTGTTTGTAGAGATGTATCTATTTATCTTTATTGTGAGGGTGATGAAGCCCTGGCATAGGTTGCCCAGAGAAGCTGTGGCTACCTTATCCATGAAAGTGTTTAAACCCCAACCTCTTCTGTGCTAAACTAATGTTTTTTTTCTTTCTTCTCTGTCCCACAGAGATCCCTGGGTGTCCAGGAATGGTGAAGAGCTGAATGGACCAACCTCTCTTCCTCACCATCCTGAGCTCATGAGGGCTCTGAAGAGATTGAGTGGGAGCACAGCCTTGCTTCCCTGAGCCTGGGGATGCTGTGGGAAGTGATTGCCTTGGCAAATGTCTTCATCCTAACCCATAGCCCATCGTGCATCACCTGAAGAAGAAGCTGGTGAAAGATAACCAGGGGACCAGGAAAGGCTCTGCTAGCCTTGGAGGACACCACTGGGGGACTGGCACTACGAGAGGCACTTTGCAGGAGTCACTGCTTGTGGAACCAGCTCTGGAAAGAGGCTACAGGAGCCCTGTGAACTGAAGGAGAGGAATGTCTAAATCATGATAAAAGGCGCAGAGAGGTTTCCTGGGCACAGTAACCTTGGAAAGCACTTTCAAAAGGGGAGTACCAGGACCACGTGGTCATCTCCAGTGTCTGATTTGGAAGAGGCACAGCAAGGTCACTGCCTAATGGTCAGGTCAGGAGACCAGCAGGATGCCTGTTTGTGTGCTGGTTGGGGATCCAGATGAAACAGGAATCTGTCCAAGACCAAGAGAGAAGGAGTATGGAAGATTGCATTGACTTATTCTGTGCTTGTTTCTCCTTCTGGTGTCTTCTCTGTCTACCTCTTCTTCTCTGTAGGCCCATATACATCATGTGGGGCCCAGACTCTCACAAACAAGCAGAAGGATTGGCACAGGGTAAATCCTGCCTAGTGCAGATGCAATGTGGCCTTTGTTTGCTCCTTGTGCCAACAAATGTGCAACTGTCATGCCTGGACTTCAGACAGGAGAAAGGCTGGAACCTGGCAGTCGTTTCACTTGCAAGCAGTCACATTCTAGCATGACCAGCCACCCTTGGGAGCCAAGTTGTAACACCTGAGCCTCAAAACATCACAGAGCATCTGTCCCTCTCCTACAGCTGTGGGAAGGAGTATATGGACAGGCTGCACACTCAGCTCCTGCTTCTTGGATTGGGAAAAACTCATTAAGCAGTGAAAGAGACAGACGTGGAGGGAGTGACAGACCTCAGGCAGAAAACAGTAGGAAAAACTGACTCAAAACCATAGGAAAATGTGCACCTTTGACTTGCAGGTGGTGCCCCAGCTGTGGACTGTCATGCCCAGCTGGGCAGCTGCAAATGTCTGGTCACTGAGCTGCTCCCAGAGACCTGGGCAAAACATGCTGGTACCAAACTGTGCGGGAGCCCCATCTCAGACCTTCTCTCTTGGGCTTCCAGCTGCAAACTCCTTCTCTCATGTGCAATTGTATTTATTTATTTATTTTCTTGCTGCTTGATGTGAAGCTGCTAAATGAGCCGCCTCCCCACAAACACCCTCAGCCAAGAGAGGATGGAGGGAGGGGGTGTGAGGTGTGTCTGTGCAAGGGGACTGGGCAGAGGGGCAGGAGAGAGGGACACCTCCCAGGAGCAACCTTCTAGTGGAAGCTGTCCTTGCCCATGGTGGAGAGGTTGGACTAGATGATCTTTAAGGTCCCTTCCAACCCAAACCATTATGTGATTCTATGATAAGCCTTGAACGAGATGCCTCATCCCTGGAGGTGTTCAAGACCAGGTTGGATGGAGCTCTGAACAACCTGGTATAGCAGAAGGTGTCCATTCTATGATTTTGTGATGTGGACATGCCTACAGAGGGAGCATACAAGGCAGGAGGAAAAGGCTGCAGTGAAACCCCAGTCTCCCTGGGGTGAGGGTGCAATTTTGCTCTGCAAAGAACTAAGGACGAGCTGGGTAGAGCTTTGTTGGGAAGGACAGTAGGACAGTTGCAGCCTGCATAAGCTTGGGAATGTCCCTGTAGCCAAATGTCCTCCGTGCATCTATGCTTGTGCAGGACATGTCTCTATGTGAGTTGCTCACCCAGGTTGTGCCCTCCCAGCACTCCCTGAAGCAAACTTACAGTTTCTACACTCACAGGAGGACATATCCCCAGCCAGGCAAGTTCCCAAGTTCCCACCAGTGTGTTCACTGAGGTTATTAAACCAGGTATTAACCTGGCAGCTTTTTCTGCTCTAGACGTCCGCCACAGACCCATTTGACACAGCCAGTTTGAGAGCAGCCTCTTGAGGCAGGGCTGTAGCTGTGCTGTAGTGGTTCATGCTCAGCCTTGGCTGTTCCTACCTTTTTTGCCTAAAAACTGGCACACCAGCAGCATCCATTCATGGTCAGGTATCCCATTTTATGGAAAGTCTGTCTGTCCCACTGCAGAGGGGAAAAATTTCTCTGGGAGAGGGCAGCTCTCCAGTGCCCTGCTACTCTCTCACAGGTCCCGCACTCAGGAGGGACCAGGCTACACTGACATCCTTTGGTGCATCTCCCAGCTGCTCCAGGAAAGCCTGGCTTCTCCCATACCCTTCCCTCTGAGACGCCCCAGCAAGGCTTTGTCCAAACCTGTGTGGCTGCTGACTGGAAATATTTCCCAACAAAACCTGTTTCTCATATGATTCTTGGCTGGTTCTAGTCACTTATTATGTACTGGAAACACTATCCGTGGGATTAGTTTTCAGGTTAGAGACATGCATGTAGTTCTTTTTCTCACAAATCCCCTGATGTGCAAGAGCAGGTTGTAGCAAGTGGAATGGATGCACTTGCTCTGATCATTTGCCAGCATGGCCCAAAAGCAGTGACCTGCTCATTGTTGATCACTGCCTTGCAGAGTTGTACGAGTTGGAGACAGAAGAGGTGTATTACAAATCCACCTGCCTCTGACCCTTCAGGCTTGTTCCATATATTACTTACTGGTGGTGTGCTGGGTCTATTTTTAAATGCCCTGACACCAGGGTTATTGTGCTGTCCTTTGGGAGACTGCTCTGTGCTCCAAGTCAGGAGCTGCTGTTAGTTTTCCACCTGCATTTTCTCTTGAAAACTTCATTCCATTATTCCTAGTGATGCTCTTCAAATACCTGCTGTTCATTATGTTCTGCCACTTGACCTGCACTCTTCTTTCCCTTCCAAGAACATCTCTGGCTCCCTGATCGCTGCTGCTCCCTTTTCTTCCCATGGCTCGGCACAGGATGAGCCTGTTCATTAATTCAGCCATGCTGAGTTTGTCAGGGATATGTACCCACCACTGGAGCAGCCAGGAGTTCTGGCAATGCCCAGTCTCCCCAGCAGCTGTGGTGCTTCTCTCTCCCTCATTGAGAAGCTTGTGGGGTGCAAGGAAGGGGCAGACACAGAGATGTGTCCAAAAGCCAATCAGTGTTGGCAGTGAGCATTTGTTTCCCCCGATGTACGGAAGAAATTCTTCCCCGTGAGGGTGGTGAGGCCCTGGCACAGGTTGCCCAGAGAAGCTGTGGCTGCCCCATTCCCTTGAATGGGCTGACCCATTCAAGGCCAGGTTGGACAGCAACCTGTTCTAGTGGAAGGCGTTCCTGCCCATGGCAGGAGGTGGAATGAAATGATCTTTAAGGTCCCTTCCAAGCCAAACCATTCTGCGACTCTGTGATCCCACGGGAAGTGACCCCTGTTAGAGACAGCGCACAGCCAAGTCCCCATCTCAACAACAGCTCTCTGCAAGGAGGGAACCCCACACCCTGTGAGTGGGGGGAGCTTGGCAGGCTCAGTGCACGTGGAGAGCTTGTGTGGGGATCCTGTGTGTGCAGAACTCAGCTGAAGCACCATCGTCATTGTAAGAGCTCTGTTCTTCTCACTGAACAAATTGTTCCGACAAATAAAGAATGAAAAGTCCTGCTCTTCCCACTCTTCTTTTTTTTTTACCCTATTCATCAGTTGGTGCCAGAGGAGGGGACTGTACCTCGATAGTGGGAACAGAAAGATGCCAGGGCAGCTCAGGAGGTGCTGGGGCTGACAAAGAGGAGAGGTTGGATGCAGTCAGGATAGCCAGGGGAATTAAAAACACAAAATGCACCAGAGCAGGTGGCAGGGCTTTTCCTTTAAGCTTCCTGGTGCTGTTGGGTGATGGGTTGCAATATCTCCAGGTGCTGTGGGAATGGGCTGTGGGACCAGGCTAGGGAGGAGCTGAGCAACAGCAAGGCAGTGGGTGTGGGGCTGCAGGTGCTGTGGGGCTGAGCAGGAGGAGGTCTGGTCAAAGAAACCAAGGAGAAAGAAAAAAGACAGATGAAAGAGAGTGCTGAGTCTCCCAAGGGTTTCACAGAATGACAACAGAGGAATCTGAAGTCTCCTACATGGCAGTGTGTCATCCCATGGGCTGGTTCCTTACGCACACTTCACATCAGTGATGGAGCAGAAAGCTCCTTAATTCCTCCTCTCAATCCCCAGCTGTTCTCCCCGGTGACCCAGGGCAGGGTGGCAGTGACAGTTACAGCTTTTCAGAAGCATTTGTCAAGGGAAATTTTGGTCCCCAAACAACGAAAGAATCAAAACCAACACATTTCCAACTGAATTCATGATGAGACAATTAATCATCCCAATTTAAAACAGTGGAGATCCTGGAGTGCCCTAATACATAAAGATGCTTCAGGCAGTGGTTGTGCTAAGTGTCCACAGCCCATTCTCTGGCTGCCAGCAGGCACGGGGCTTCAGGCAGCAGTACGCTGTGGGCCCACAGTGTTCCAGTCTTCCAGTACGCAGCACTGTCAGGGTAATTTGAGATTTTGATGTGCCTTCTATCACAGAACAGCCTGGAAATTATGCATAACTGTGCACAGATCCCTGTGGTGCCATACCTCTGCTTTTTAGTGTGACTGGGAACAACAAAAACTCAGCAGCTCTCTAAAAACTTTTCCAAAGTCACATTTGACTTAGACACTTTTGTGCCAGCCACAAGTACCCATCTATCCACACTAGAGAGGCTTATCTAACTAACAGGATGGATCTTCTCCATCTCCCAGGCTTTGTATCTGGATTTACAGAGCTCTGGGGTCAGCCCTGGGGTTTGGGACTGGATAAACCGTGAGCCTTATTTGCCGAGAGCACACACCACCCCAGCGCCTCCAGACATCCCAGGATGTGTCCAAATATTTTTCCAAAGTTCCTAAAGCTTTAAAGCAATCCAGAGAGAAAAGCTGTGAGAATATTATTGCAGCACATAACTGCAATAAACCTTTTCTTCGTCCTTTCATGGTTAGAGGTATGAACATGAATTATGGCAACTTAAACCTCTTGAGAGCAGCGTGTAAAATTGCTTTCTCAAATGTCTGGTAAAAAGCATTGTTAACCTGAGATGTCAGTACTCACAAATGCTGCTGCCTGAATGAGACTATTTTACAAGTCAGTTTAATCCTTCCAGGAATTAAACAACCCCTTTCCACCCTCACCAAGCAGCAGATTCACTCTTTGCCCTTGTTTTCTGACCCGTTTGTTCATTTGAGGCTCTGGCACTGTCACCTCTTGCAGCAGATGAGACACGTCATAACTCCCACATGTAAACAGGTTAATAAAACCCCCACATTTGGCCAGATTTCAGGCTACCTGGCACATAGCAGAGGCTGCAGAGAAGTCAGGGGCTTCTCATGTGCAGCCAGCAGTGACTGCTGCAGCTTTTAGGGTCATTTTGTCAGCTGTCATGCAAGCAAGGCTGCCAGCCCCCAGCAAGTAGGATGCCTTCCTGTGGTACCCTGTTGCTTCTGGGTGTAGATTTTCCTGAAGGATGGAGGATGATAGAGGGGACTGTGCACTCAAGACCCGATCCAAGAGCATCAGTTCCCCCAGCCACGGCCATATCCCCTCATTTAATGATCCTCCCTCTCTCAGCATCCTTTTAAGAACCACACAGCTGGGCATAGGCAGCAGGTACTTTCCCTGCTTTCCTTGTATGCCTTCTGGTGGATGTGTCCCTTTCCCTGGCCTGACACCACCCCAAAGAGTCCTGCTGCTACCATGGCACTTACATTATTCCTAAGCCTCTTCCCCCAGCCCAAGCTGGCACCTTCCTGGGACACAAGCTGATTTCTGGGTCTCACACACATTTACTTACAATCCTACAGGCACAAATCTCAATAAATGTTGGATTAAAAAATTCCAAGATGGTAATTTACCATCATTTTGATTACTATGGTAGAATGTTCAATTCCCAGGTGCTCTGTTTTGGTCTCAGTGGAAATTGGTAGAAGGGGTCACCTTTGGATTGTAGAATCCTGATGCTGAAGGGATGGTTTTGCCTCATCAATTGAGGAAGTGATGAGGGCTGGGTTATTTGCCTGCTTTTTTTTTTGTACATGTCAGTGAAATTCACAATGAAATGTGGATCTGCCCAGACCAGGCTGTCATCTGACAGAATGAAAGGAAAAAGAGGAAGAAGGGGTGTTAAAAAAATTGAAATTACAGTCACTAAAGCACAAAAAATAACATAAAAATATATACAAATGCCAGGCTGGTTTATCCATGCTGCTTCTCTAAAGCTTGTTGTGACTGGAAACTGGAAAAGAAGAGAAATAGCTAATGCTGTTGTTAACCATTAACTATTTTGCTGCAAGTCTTTACCACAGCCTGCATGGGGAGCCCATGTTTTTAAGAGTTAATCTTCGCTGAAAGCCCATCCAGGCCAATGGAAAGG